GGGACAAGGGAAATGGATAAACATGGAAGAGGGTAGAATCAGGAAGTTCAGAGAATAAGAAATACAACTAGAAAAACAAACTAGTGAGGAAAATGTTTGCCAAAGAAGGATTAAAAAATAGCTCTCTTGCCATGATGGCAAAACATAGGCTTTCTCATATATTGTTGGAGGCAATGTAAATTAGCAAAATCACTTGAAAAAGTAATGTGGTGACATAGTCAAAGAACCTTTAAAGTGTTTATTGTCTTTGACTTGATAGTTTAATTTATATACCCTTTAAATTTTTTTTTTTCTTTTTGGCTAGAGGTCACTTGTGCTGGCCAGGGAGAGAGAGGTAGAGTGAGCACATTCCTCCATGGGGATGGTTTTGCTGCAATCCCCTCACCTCCTTGCCAGAAAGACAGAGAGACAGAGAGACAGAAAGCAAGAAATCACCCCCTGGCAGGGGGGATGGCCACACCGCAGTCCCTTCTCCATTTTCCTCTTGGCATCTTGGGCACACACACATGCTCCCGGCGTGAGTTTAACCCACTGGGTCCAGCATTCGGACCGCGGTTGACTATAGGGAAGTCCAGCGATATAGCCATTACGCCAACTGCTGGTCCCTTGAACTTCACTTTCTAAAAGCATATGCATTACATAACATAAAATGAGGAGCAAATGACTATGTTTCATTTATAACTTAGTAATTTCTTCATTTACTCAGCAAAAACACTTCTTGAGCACTTCCTACATGCCAAGTACTGGGGACATAAAAGTGAACATGACAGATAATGTCCTTACCCTTAGCAAGCTTCTATTCTAAGGGAAGAGAAAGACAATAAACAAGCAAACTAATAGTAAAGCAAGGGGACAGCTTGGTGGTTAAGGATACTGGACTTCTACATGGCCGACCACAGTTCAAGTCCCAGACCTACCCCCACCATCCCTCTCTGGCCAGATTATAAATAAATAAGTAAAATTAAATCAAATAATTCTTTAAAAAATAATAAAGCAAGAGAATTTCAGGTAGGTGTAAGTGCTGAGGAGATCATAAAGCCAAGTCACATAATCAGAGTAAACTGTGAGAAAGAAGCCTCTAATTTTAGTTTGGGTGGTCTGAGGAGGTGTTATTTGAACTGAGCCAAAAGATAAGGAAGAGCCAGTCATAAAAATATTTCATTATGAGCACTTTTAGGAGTGGAAACAGCTGGTAAAAAGATGTTTGAACATGGTTAAAAAAATTCTAACTTAAGTCTTTGAAAGTTCTCACTGTGAAGGCAGATGATTCAAATGCTCTAGCAAGAACTTTGGATCTGTACACTGCAGGAGGATGAATGGTAGAGGAAGCTAAGCCTTGAGACAGGCTATATAAGGAGTTCAGACAAAGGGACAAGGGAAATGGATAAACATGGAAGAGGGTAGAATCAGGAAGTTCAGAGAATAAGAAATACAACTAGAAAAACAAACTAGTGAGGAAAATGTTTGCCAAAGAAGGATTAAAAAATAGCTCTCTTGCCATGATGGCAAAACATAGGCTTTCTCATATATTGTTGGAGGCAATGTAAATTAGCAAAATCACTTGAAAAAGTAATGTGGTGACATAGTCAAAGAACCTTTAAAGTGTTTATTGTCTTTGACTTGATAGTTTAATTTATATACCCTTTAAATTTTTTTTTTTCTTTTTGGCTAGAGGTCACTTGTGCTGGCCAGGGAGAGAGAGGTAGAGTGAGCACATTCCTCCATGGGGATGGTTTTGCTGCAATCCCCTCACCTCCATTTCTCCTTTTGGGATTTTGGGCATACATGCACACACTCCTGCTGTGTTTTTCAAGCCTCTAGGTCTAGAACTTGAATTGCACAGTTGGTCATGTGGGGTCCTGCTGCCTCAATCACCACACTATTGGCTGGTCATTAGATACACTTTTATAGATTTTGCTAGGTTTTATTGATTTATATGAATAAGTTAATTCTAGATGTAGTCTTTACACAATTTATTGTAACAGCTCCAAAGTTGGAAAAATAAAAATTATTTCAAGTTGAAGGCATAGTTTATAGCCATTAAAAAAGACATTTCATCCACATGCAAAAGAATGCAATTGGACCCCTTCACACTATACATAAAAATTAACTCGAAATGGATCATAGACCTAAATGTAAAACCTAGAACTATAAACCTTTAAAAAGAAAATATAGGAGTAAATGTTTGTGATCTTGGGTTAGGCAAAACCTTCTAAGCTGTAATACCAAAAGCACAAGCAACAACAAAAATAGATAATTTTGACTTTATCAAAGTTACTAACATTTGTGCTTCAAAGAATACAGCTATAGTTTGTATATCCTTCCAAAATTCATGTCTTGGGACTTCACTGTATTGTAGAGGTGTTAGATGAAAACTTAACAGTTCATGGTATCCTGGGGTAGGATCTTTGTGTTTAAGAGGATCATTAGTGCAGTGCCCCTTTGACTGAGTTCTAGTGGGTTTATAAGAGGAGATAGGGGAACCAGCAGTTAGCATAATGGCTATGTCTCTGGACTCCCACATAGTCGACCGCGGTTCGCATCCCAGACCCAGTGGCTTAAAACTCATGCCGGGTGTGTGTGCGTGCATGCCCAGGATCCTGAGAGGAGAATGGAGGAGAAGGGATTGCAGTGTGACCATCCCCCCTGGGCGGGGGGTGATTTCTCGCTTTCTGTCTCTATGTCTCTCTCTGTCTGTCTGGCGAGCGCATGCGCCCTATAGCGAAAACCTCTCCCCCCAAAAAAAGAGGAGATGGGTGGATAGGACAGGCAAAAACTCCTAGACAGCTCTAGACTCAAGATTCTGCCTGCCTCCGTTTTGCAATGCCTTTGGACCTTCTACATGGCCAGAACCATGAGTGCAATAAACCTCTATTCTTTTAAATTCACTGTCTCAGGTATTTCTGTTAACAGCACCACAATGGACTGAGACAAACACCATCAAAAAAAGTGAAAAGACAATTCATGGAATTGGAAAAAGTATTTGCAAAGTATCTAATAATGGATTTGCATCCATAAAATATATATTTTAAAAACCTTTTACAACTCAAAAATAGAAAGAAACTAATCTAAGTAGCATGGGCAAAAATTCTGAATGGACATTTCACCAAAGTAAGCACCCTATAGCAGAAATCTCTCTTAAACACACACACACACACACACACACACACACACACACACATTGAAATACTATTTCACATCTACTAGCATGGCTATACTAGAAAATTCAGATAATGAGTTCTGATAACTATGTGAAAAATTAGAGCTCTTGTATACCACTGGTGGAAGTGTAAAATGGTGCATGCAATCACTTTGGAAAGCAGTATGGCAATTCCACAAATGGCATAATGTTTACATTGCCAGACTCCCACGTAGCCGACCAGTTTGAGTCGCAGACCCAATGGCTTCAAAATTTATGCTGGGTGCGTGTGCCTGCAGGCCCAAAATCACAGGAAAAGAATGGAGGAGAAGAGATTGCAGCATGACCATCCCCTCCTGCAGGGTAATTTCTGAAGAATGGATTCTGTCTCTCTCTCTCTCCAGCAAGCACATGTGCCCTATAGCAAAACAAACAAACAAACAAAAAAGTGGAAACAAACCCAGATGTCTCTCAGTTGATGAATGGATAAATAAAATGTAATGTATGCACATAATAGAGTATTACTTGGCAATGAAAAAGAGTGTAATACTGATATATGCTACAACATGAATGAGCTTTGAAAAAAAATTATGCTATGCGAAAGAAACCAGTCACAATAAGCACATACTAGAGAGCTGGACAGTGGCACAGCAGTAAAACACATCTCTCTGCAAGGCAGACACACAGGGTGAGGTTCTAAGCTTACATCTAGACACCTCACTGAATATGCTGGGCATGTGCATGCCCATGATCCAGGACTGGTGAGGCCAGTGGTATCCACGATGCCAAGACCCCTTGTTGGGGGAGCTGTCTGCTCCTTGCTCATGGAATAAATAAATAAATAAATAAATAAATAAATAAATAAATAAATAAATAAACTTTAAAAATAAAACTACTAATATTACTCCACTTACACAAAATGCCTAGAATAAGCAAAGCTATGAGACAGGAAGTACCTTAGTGGTTGCCTAGGGTCTAGAATAAGGTGGGGGAAGAAACGGGCAGTGATTACTCATGAGTATGAGGTTTACTTAGGGATAATGAAATTGTTCTAAAATCGGGGATGTTTGCACCACTTTGTTTTTATACTAAGACTGTTGAAGTGTTCACTTTAAATGGGTGAGTTCTACTGTATGTAAATGATACCTCAATAAAACCGTTAAAATATATTTGTGTGAAGTATATACTAATTAAAGTGATGTCCATAATATGCATGGAAGATTCAGAGTTGAATATTATAAATTATGTTTATTTGGAAAAGAGATAAGAAGCTCTGACATACACTGCGGCAAAAAATCCACTAAAGTTTATGCAGATTGCTTTTAGATGATAGACCACGGTTGATGTTTTTTTCCCTTTGATGAGCAGGTCTTTTATAATGGGGGAAATATTTTTTTAATGAAAGAAATGAGGATCCCTTATTTCCAAAACAGTCTTTGGGCATAATCTTCATTAAATATGACCCAACAAAAAGCAACTGAAGGGAGTTTCCAACTGTCATTCTACAGAGAACAAAGTCTGATTGAGACCAAAGATGACATTTTCTTTTCTTTTCTTTTTGAGAGGTTTTTGATATAGGGCACGTGTGCTCGCTGGAAAGACAGAGACAGAGAGACGGAAAGCGAGAAATCACCCCGCTTCCCAGGGGATGGCCATGCCTCAATCCCTTCTCCTCCATTCTCCTCTCGGGATCTTGGGCACGCACATACATGTGCCCGGCATGAGTTTATGCCACCAGGTCTGAGACTCGAACCATGGTCGACTACATGGGAGTCCAGCGACATAGCCATTACGCTAACTGCTGGTCCCAAGATGACATTTTCTGTAACCCTTCCTACCTTCTGTTCCTCCACCTCCCTAGATCCAAAAAGGAAAATAATTCAGAAAGTCAGCGCCAGTGAGACCCGGAGATGCTTACATCTGGCAGCCTCATGCCTGAAGGTGAGAGACAGACAATAATCACACGGATTCAAACAGTGAAAATGGAATGAGGGGTGCGTTTCCCCTCTGGGGATGATGAAGGGCCTGTGCCAAATGCAAGGCAAGGTTTCACTCTTTTTTCCATAGATGTATCTCTACTGGGAAAACCAGCTTTTCCTTCTCACCTCCACAGAGAAGAAGCCAGCACAAGGCTCACATCCCTGGACAGGGTTACCCTTCCCAGCTGGCCTCACTGTGGCCCAGCTGGTTATCCATCTCTATTTCAGAGGAACAGATTAGATAAAATCCTAGTCTCATTTTGGAAAGCCCCTTTCCTTTGCTCTCCCAAACAAAATTAGTTAGAAACAGGTTAATCTGACATTTTCCTCTGAGCAGCGTGTTCATTTGGGAGCGGGCCCTCATGGACAGCCCTGAGGCTGCCCTCTCGGAGTCCAGTGCCTCCCCGATGCTGACGATCCGAAGTGCATGTGGAGGTAGTAGGTGGGGATGGACAGAGGTCTGGGGGCTGGTTGTCTGGGGAGTGGTTGAAGGACCTGGGGCTGCTTAGCCTGAAGATGAGAAAACTCAGGGAGATCCTGAGAGTTGTCTCAATGAGCTGCGTACATGAAAAGGTTTCTTTATATGGAAAAGGAATGTCTCCGAGAAAAATTGGAACTAATATGGAGAAGTTGCAAGGAGGCAGATTGCCATGATACCAGAGAGATTAAAAAAAAAAAAAATAGGCCAGCTGGTGACATGGCGGTGAAGGTGGCTGGGTCCCACATGGGTGGCTGCCTGGTTTGAGTCCTGGACGTGGTAGCTTAAAAAACACACACACCAGGCATGTGTGTGTGCGTGCCCTAAATCTTGAGAGGAGAATGGAGGAGAAGGAATTGCAGCGTGACCATCCCCTCTGGGAGTGATTTATCACTCCCCCTGCCCCGTCTCTGGTAAGAACGTTACAGTAAATTTAAAAAAAAAAAAATAACATTTTTATGAGAGGCAGAGAGAGAAAGAGATGGAGGAAGGGAGAGAAGATATTATTGACCCAATAATGTGTACTGCTGTGTCTCAGTCCTCTCCCAGCTTCTCAGGAGGGATGACAAGCATGCGCCACCATGCCCAGCATGTTCAGTGGGAACTGAAGCTGAGCCTCCGGTATGGCCTTGGCCACTACATAGTCGCACACTCCTGCTTTGTGCCACTAACGCTGGGCTGAAAGAAATGTTAATAACTAGAATTTTTCAGTATATGACAGTTGAGAAGGTGAGTGCCATCTCGGGCAGTATGTATAACAAGTTTGTTTCAGGCATCAACCTCAGAAGGTAAACCTTTTTTTGTAGAAATATTTTTGCTATCGGGTATGTGACTTAATGGAGAGACAGAGAGAAATCACCCCCCAAGGGGGATGGCCACGCTGCAATCCCTTCTCTTCCATTCTCCTCTCAGGATTTTGGGCACACTCACACAGGCACCTGACATGAGTTTTAAGCCACTGGGTCTCGAACTGCAGTCAACTATGTGGCAGTCCAGCTATGTAACCATTGTACCATCCGCTGGTCCTGGTAAAACATTTTTTCAACAGTTCCTTGGTGCTTATGTGTCAGGTTTGTGAAAGTACTTTTCATACACTAATTCTCAGAATACTCACAACAACCTTCTGAAATAAGCATATTATTTCCAATTTGTGAATGAGGAAAAATAAAACTCAGAGATGTTCAGTAGCTTGCTGAGAGCCACAGTGGGACTCCAACCTGGGTCATCTGGCTCTTAAATCTATGCTTTTATCTACTTTGGGTCGGTTTCCCTTTAGATTAATATCCAAGATACAATGGTAGGCCCCAACGCATCAGCTTACAGGGCGGTCTCTTGGCCTAGAGATGCCTCGGTCTTCAGGCATCCACGGATTGCTCATCTATACCTATGCCCTCCTGGAGAAAGCACCAGCCCCTGCCAAGCTCCATGGCCTCCCTCAGAGATTTCTGTGCCATTGGCACCATTCAGGTGGCCTCGCTGCTTTCTCTGCCAGCCATACTCATGTGAGGAGACCAACATGTATACCAGGGTGGCTCCCTGCAGCATGCCCCTAACCCCGAGGTCTCAGGGACCTGTGTGTTGCTGGGTTCTCAGCAAAGTTGTGTGGAGAATGGTTCCATTTCATGCCACAGTTTGTCATTTGAGACCCCAAATTAATACTTTTGTCCAGGGTCCCCCATGTCTCAACAGTAAAATGTCCCTCTCAGCTACTGGTCCTCATCTCCCTGGGTACAGACTTTCAAAGACAGTCCTGTAGTAGCAGTTGGGCCATGTGACATACTATCCCCCTCAGTCCCCATTTTTTACCTCTTTTTTAACTGTGACTTATCTCCTGGACAACCAAAATAACTAAAACAGAAACTCTTCTCTTTTCCCCTAGTCACAGCACACAGAATCACCACAAACCAGGCAGAGAGAAGAAATATTGCCTTGATTCTCCCTAGTCTCTGCCTAGACAAAAAAGAGCTGTGACATTCATAGCAGAGACAGAGTAATTTCTTTCTTCTGAGACACACACACACACACACACACACACACACACACACAAGGAGAAAAGTTGGGGGCACCTCCGGGAGGGTCTTGACACTGTGATGCACCTCCGCTTCAGCCAGTGCCAGGTCATGGGCACGTGTGTGCCCAGAGTGCTTAGTGAGGTCTTCGAACATGAACCTGGACTCTTCCCATGCTGGTCAGCCTCAGAACCTTGCATTAGTGCCGTGCCACTGCCTTCTCCTTCCAGCTTCCTTTATCTGGCTAACTTTTTCTCAGCTTTCCGCAATCCCTTCTCTTCCACTCTCCTCTCAGGATTTGGGGCGTGCAGGCCTGGTCTAATCATGGGATTCTGTTGAGTATTTTCCTCTCCACTGGACTCCGAGTTCTTCAAGAGTAAAGACTGTGTATTTATTTTCTAACCTCGGAGGAATATTTATTTACCGATCCAATGATTTATTTGGTGCTTCTCATTGGCCAGGCCATTTTCTTATATTGAAGTATGCAGAACAAAAAACTGACTCCTTGCCCTCAGGCTGTTCCAGGGCAGAAACAGGAAAGCAAACTGATATCATATGTGATGTTACGTATGTATGCTAAAGCCTCATGGGCATATTTCTTATAAACATACGGTGTTTCCCCCCCAAAAAATATCAATAGCATTTACTATGTGTCAGACACTGTTGTAATCACTTAAATCTATTATAATTGACTTCCTCTTTACATAGCCCTACATGGCAGGTGCTACAACTATTTCCACTCTATAGAAGGATATAGAGACCCAGAGAGGTCGTGCCACTTACACAGGGTCACAGAGCTAAAGAACATCAAATCAATTTCAAATGAACCATTTAGTTGACTCATTAATCCCTAGTCTCAGGAAGAACAGAAGTCTAAGGAATTGGGATGAGGTTTCTTTTTCTCTTTGAACACTAAGTGGATGGTTTCTGTCAAGCTGGAAATTCCTGCTCTAGAGGCTTTCTGATGACTTGTACTAATGCTTGGCATTTTATTTCCAGGGATTGCCTTCTGGGAGATTCTGCTGTCCTAATGATCGTGTGAGTGCCTGTTTTCCTCGCTGAATTGCACCATTCGCCCCTTTGAAGTCATCCTGAGGAGTCAGCTTTACTTTCCCTGCACTTCCCGGGGGAAGGGCACATTCAACTCATGACTCTGCTGCCCACAACTGCGTTTTGATATTTTTTTCTTGCCAAGGTCAGTAAGGCTATGGATTGTCCACAGCTGGGATGTGGGATGGGGCCGGAGTAACTCTGCTGTCACTCGTCTCCAGCTATGATCTCAGCTGCGGATTAATTCGTTTGCACCTTGAGTGTCATTAAATGAATTGGTTTAAAGAAACCTTTTACACAGTGGTTAATGATGCTTGTTCGACCTTTATAAGTACCTTTGCCCCCTGTGATATGAATCACCTAATTCCATTCTGGTTTCCTTTCTAGGAATAAAGACTTTGCATCTCCAAAGCTGGCCCTTTTTAAAAAAACACGTAAATGCGTGTTCTGAGCCACTTGTCTGTTCTGTCCCAATCACTCCTTTGTTCTGTTCCAATCACTCATCCTCCCAAAGGATGTGTGTGTGAGGGGTGGGACAGGCGCTGAAAGCAGGTATGGCCCTTGCCTTAGCTCAGCAATTCCCTTTAAAGGAAAGGGTGTGGGGTTAATGTGAGGAGGAGGAGGTGTCCAAGTCGGTGGGAGAGGGAACGACCAGTGTATTCATTTACGTTTCCTCCATATTCGTGCATGCATTCAGCAAGTACTGACAGAACCAGTTCTGTTCCAGACCTCGGTTATAATCAGGCCCTGGAATTTATAGTAACTGAGAAGACAGACACAGTTCCTGCCTTCCTGGAGCAGAGAGGAAGACTGGAAAGCAAGTAACAAATAAAATGGCAACCAATTATGGTAAGCACTGAGAGGAAATAAAGAATTAGCTACCATAGAAAATAATTGACAGTGGGGGATGACACAGGACATGTATTTATTTATTCAAATCTAGTATTTTCATTCAAAGTTTATCTATTGCTTGCTAAAATTTTTTTAAAAAATTTTTTGCCAGAGGGCACATGAGCTTGCCAGAGAGAGAGACAGAGAGGGAGAGGGGGAAAGCACTCCCCCAGTGGAACATGGTCATGCCGCAATCCCTTCTCTATATCTCCATCCTGTTGGGAGCTGGGGCACGCACATATATGTGCTCAATGTATTTTTTATTTTTTTACAAGAGATTCTTGCCATAGGGCATGTGTTCTCACCAGAGAGGCAGAGAAACAGAAAGCAAGAATTCCCACCCCCTTCTCCAGGAGGGCTGGCCACACCACAATCCCTTCTTTTTCACACTCCTCTCAGAGTGTTGGGGCGCACACACATTTGCCCGGCACGAGTTTCAAGCCACTGGGTCTGGGACTCGAACTACAGTCGAGTACATGGGAGTTTAGTCATGTAGCCATCATGCCATTTATTGGTCCTGCTTGATGTATCTTTCAAGCCACAGGGGGAGGGATTTTAACCACATAGTCAGTCATGTGAGATTCAGCTCCCTTACTACCAGGCCACAGAGCTGGCCCAGGGCATTTATTTGAATAGAATAACTGGAGAAGGCTGCTCTGAAGATGTAGAGGATTAGACTTGAAGGAACATGGATTGGAAGGACATAGAAGCCCAGGAAGAATTGTGGGCAGAGGAAGTGGATTATGTAAAGGTATTGCAGCTGAAGTCAGCCCAGGCAAACTGAAATAAACTGAACTGCTCTTGGGGGGCCTCCAGGGCCCAGCTTGTACTGCTTTCCCCAGAAGGTATCCTCCTACCCCAGGCCTGGTACCTCCTGGTGTTTCCCTTTGTTTATCCAAACATGTTCCTGC